TGTATGCGACTAGTGCTCCTTCCCAACATTCTTGTTCAGAAGCCTTCAAGCTTGTGGCACAGTATGTTTTCTATAATCCCATTTCTTTTTTAATCACATGCAACCCCTTTTTTGTATTCTATTGATGTTAAAAAGAATGAATGCAGCCCTTGCGCTATTAAAAACAAAAAGCTTCTTACTTTCAGGAATGCATTGGCAAGACTCCACAAGAACAAGATTTAACTTTTGAGCATGGCAGTGGGCATACAAGGCTAATGGGTGGTCCTTAAAAAAAAAGAAGAAAAGAAAAACCTCTATAATTCATTCAATAGTACATTAATATTATCTTTTACCTTATGGTCAATTAAATTCTTGCAAATCACTCAAGTGCAAGTCAAAATACATAAGAGAAAATATGGAAGTGTCATTTTGCTTTTACAAACTGTCATTTAAATCTCTATGAGTTTTGCTAATCTGTGATTGTGTCTTCTGATTCATCAGCCAAACCTGAAATTAATTTGTTTTGCCTGTATGTGAGAAGGGATTCACAAAAACATGTTATAATGAGTCAGTCTACTCTGTAAGTCAGTCAAACCAGTTGTGCTCTTTGATGAAGGAATTACAATTATAATAATTTTCCTCAAATAATCTAAATCCAGATCAGTTGTACTAAAAGTGTCTTGGCTAATTTTCCAACTAAATAGAAAGACACAAACTTTCCAGGGAGTTTCTTTAGTAGCCTTTTTTCTGTATCTATAAACCTTGCTTTGTTCCACCTTGTGAATGATGTCACCCCTTTATTTAGATGACTTAATATGCTGCTTAACTTGCCCTGTAGTCCAAGAACAGCTATGGGAATAACATTGTTCTGTAGCTACTTCCCCATTTGAAAAACCTCTTAAAGCTGTTATCCATCTGCACTTCGCTCATCGTGTGTGAAACATCTATACAGAAAACAGTAAGCTCTCTGTTTCTTACAGCTATATGCCAGACTACAAACCAATTTATACTCCAGCAGAATTAACCCCTCCTTTTATTTCTCCTTCTCTCTGTTTGTAGTTTAGGTTTTTTGCTTGGTTTGGTTTGGGTTTTTTGTGGGGTTGGATTTTTTTTGGTTGGTTGTTTTGGGGGGGATTTTTTTTAGTTTTTTAAATCACAAGCTGTAAAAACCAATTTGGTGTGATAGCTTGAAAGAATCCTCTATCTTTATCTCCTAGATGTCTGGATGGAGAACTACACCTCTTTTTAAAATTACTGACTTGATCAGTCACAACTATCTATCTATTTATTATTTGAAGATGATTGGTGAAATTATCAGCACTGAAGGTTATATACCAGTTTCTAAAAAAAAAATAATAATTACAAGTTTGGGGGGTTTATTTTACTTCTAATTATCTCCAGTCTCATTTCTTATAATTCGTGAACAAGTCTAAGAGACTTAAGGCAAGGGAGAATGTTTTCCCAAATGCAGTGCCTCAATACCACTACAGGTTTCCCCCACAATATAAACTGGATTTAATTTGCATTGTACCAAAGTAGATTTTTATCTCTAATTATAGTCACTTCCATTTGGCATTCTCTTTTTTTAAGATGACCCTCTGATACTGTGTTAAACACTTCTTCAGAAATAGAACATGGGAATTCCAAGGGAAGAACTATTACTGTGCAGACTAACAGCCTAGTGACAGCCAGAGAAAACCAGTTACACAGGACATTTAGCACCAGCTTGAACTAAATGCCAGTTACTAGCAAAGGAATAAGGTTGTTTTGACAGAGAAAGAGGGAACCAGAAGCTGCTAGTATTGTCCTCCTATTATTACATTCTAGAATCTGGGTCCTGATTTTCTCACATATTTGAGTGGTACAAAGAGAAGAAGCTAAACTGGAGCTAAATGAAATCTGACCAAAAATATCTCAGTATGGGGTAAACAGTTGGTTCAGTGCATTCTTCTCACAACTCACAGTGCTCTCACTGTAGGAAGCTATAGAAGCCACAAAAAATATGACACATATAGCTGCACTGTACCATACTGTAGGTGGTTTCAGAATGAAACCAGCACTCCTCTCAGGCTAAGGCAGCCTATACATAGTCATAGACCTGTTCACTCTAATTTTCGAATTAAGAAGTTCTAATGATCTACGGCAAGAAAATGTAATCCTAGTAGCAGAAGAGTCTAAAACTTACACACTATTTTAATGAAGAAGTAGTGTGAAACTTCAATAAGACATTTGTCCTTTCAAAGTGAGATACAAAATATTAAGCCAAATTAATTAAAGCTAGTACTGAAGAACTCCTTCAATTGCTTAAATAAATCTCTCTCAGAAAAGCTCCAACATAGCCAAAGAAGCGAGGAAACTTCTGATGAAGGTGTCATAGGAGGTAAATTGACTGAAGACTAATCAGAGTAAAGCATTTAAAAAAATACAGCAAGGTGAAAGAAACAGATTATGCAAATGCAAGTGTAAAATTAAACTTTTTGTCTGAGCCAAGAAGCACATATTCCAACACCTGGAACTTTGCCAATTAGATTTCAGGTAAAAAGTCATATTTCTCCCAAAGACAGCTAAAATACCTTCAGCAAATCTAATCTGGTAATCTGATTTGACAAACCCTATTATCTACAGAACACCCACTGCCATTAATAGCTCCATTCATTTGAAATCACTTTGTATAACTGGAAAACGTGTAAAATTAAGAAAGACACCTGTTTAATTGTAACAAAAAATATGCATAACAACATATATTGACTTAATTTTCAATTATATTCAAACAGACCTACAATCAAATCTCATAGTACTAATATACACACTGTACAGCACACAAGAGTGTTTATAAAACAGAATATGAAAGTATAAAAATATAATTTCTAAAACAAATAAATACACTAATAACATTAATATTTTGACCTTTCATTAAATACTAGGCTTTGTCACTACAATGGAAATAAATGCCAATGCTGAGAAACTTCCAGAGAGATGACTAAAATACTTAGATTGTAATTTTATAGCACGGTATTTTGAATGGCTGTATCACTGAGTAACAGAAAATCTAATTGTTCTCAAAACCAAATCTAATTGCTCTTGAAACCAAATAGGAAAAAAACTCTGTCTTCATGTCCTTGAAACCATTTGCTTCATGCAACTCTCTGTACCCACTACTTCAGCTGCAAGAAGGCTCTGGACAAAACCCCTGTGAAGGTACCAGAGAGAGAGCTAACTGTACTCTGTCTTGAAGTAAGAGAGGAAAGGTGTCTTAAGACTCAGAAAGAAGGAAGGAATGCTCCAAAGAATAGAGAGACTAACGTTACCAGCCCGAAAAATTAATGCTACTTTCCTCACTAGTGAATACAATAGCAACACCCATTTCTCTCTTTTGACTTCCCTTGCTCCTGATGAGACGGTATAGAAGGGAATAAAATGAAGGTGTATAGGCAAAATAAAGCACTGTTTTGCATTCTCTCATTTAAGTGAAGTGGCAAAAGGGATTTTATGAGATCATTCTCTCACAGCTCATATTTTAGATGGCAGTCATACAGTACAGGCATTTAAAGGACAATAGCAATAGCCAAGGTTGCTAGGTTTGGCTCAAGATCTGAGCCGTTTGCTCCCTGATGTGCAGGATTGAGAGAACATATAGAATCTTGGCACCTGCTGTTAGGGAATTCAAAATTTAATTAACCTTCATAGTAATCCATATGTTATTGTAAGTTCAGAAAGACCATGTAGAAAACTTCACATTTCTATATTCCTTACCTTTCTACTTGTTAATACCTGGACAATGGATGCCAGGTAAAAAAAACAAGTGCCACACTTTCATGTAGTTAGTTGTTTGAAGACGTTTTACAACATAAGCAATTTGTTTGTGGTGAATTGGGAAGAATCCCATGACTAGCACGTTTGCTCTTTCCTTAAAGCATAAGGCCATGCTGCTGCTGACAGCAAAACTCTCTAGAATTGCAAGGCCATCCAGTACTCTGACAGTACTGTGAGCTGAAGTTCCCTGAGGCTCTACAAACCTGCTAAAGAGATGCTATTTCATGGGTGATTCATTATGCCTGTAGTTAACGCTTCCAGAGTCTCAGAAAATGTTTTGAAGCTCCTCTGCCTGCATAAGTGCTTTATAAAACTAGTAATTTACGAGCAAAATGGGGAAAAAAGTAGAAACGTAGGGTGGCATATGGCCAAACTTTTGACTTAATTTCACCACAGGTTGCTTTTTATTTACAAGCAGCTAATCCCCTCTCAAACTACACAATAGAGCAGCCATTGGCAAAGGCTGGCAGATAAAATTGGCATGCCTCTGTATTGTTCTTGCTAATCTGAACCATTAACAGAAGGGTGAGAAGGCTAGTTTTGTCATTTAAACAGGCTTAAATCCTTTCTCCAAATGAGCTTTTGTCTACATAGAAGAATTCATCCAGGAAATTTAAGGGGTTTCTGTTAGTGTTGCATTCTCAAGTTGACTAGTCTACAGGAATACCAACCTGTTTATTTGGCCTTCATACTGTAAATACAAGAATTATTTCCAGCTGTCAAAACCAAAAGGGGTTCAACTTGATTAAATTATTTCTCAGAGGTGAAACAGGATGAGATTATAAAGTGCTAAGAAGCAACTATTTGAAATCCTGGACTGCACCTGTGCAACTAAATCTCCATTTATACAGGTGCTTTTCAAATTGGATTTGAACCTTTAAATTCCCTGATTCATCCACTGAAAAACCACAGAAGCTCAAATAACTAATGAAATTCAGAGACAGAAAGGCTTAAAATGGTTTCAAGCTGTGAAGTAAGGCCTAAGACTAACTATGTTCTTTGATTCATTGTTGATGTGACATATCAAGCATAAACATAAGTTACACAGTTCAAATGCCAGAGGTCATAGTGTAGTCAGTAGCTAAGCAATTATTTTTTCTTTAGCACAGGAGAGGTCATCACCTGGCCCATAAGCACAACACGTAGCCAAAAATCTGGGGAAAAGAAGGTATTGGCTAGCATGATCTGGGTTTTTTTTTGCTTTTTACCTGGCACATCTTGCACAGATATTCAATGTGACCTTTGCTTGAGGCTCAGCCATATGAGCACTTCGAGTCTGATTGAATTTGTTCCCAGAAGACATCACACTTGTTACTCCTTCCATTCTGAGATCATCAAGATCCTCTGCAACAAGACAGAACAATGGGATGAACACATGATTAAATTTTGTAGCTTAAATAAAGGAGCTTCACCCGTAAAATCACTAAAAAATGGAACTGCTAAAAAGTCAGGAAGAAAATACACACAATTACTTGCATATTAATAGGAAATGACATTTGAGAGTATTTTTTATATTATCACCCTGTTACAAGGAGTTCCCTGAAAAATATTCAGTATTATATTCACTTCAAACAGTGCTGCATATTTTTTTCAGTCTTTATTTGTCTGATTCATTTCTAAAAAATCTGTCATGAAGAGATGCTGTCAAATAGCTCCATTTGACAAAGGACATATTGAAGACAAAAATATTTTTTTGAGTGTATGCTCCTCCTCTGTTGTTTTTTCATCAACTATTCACTTAGCAATGAAAAAACATTCTTAAAATAAAAGTGCTCTGCTAGACCCAGAAAATGTGAAATGGACACACATTGAAAGAGATCAAAATGTTCATACTTAAATCCCCCATATCGCTGTAATATTGGCAACTCATAATAATAACTGGATTTTTTCTACTGTAAAATCATTCCCATTTTGCAGGAAGAGAGCTGAGGCTCTCAGAGAATTTTTTTCCCAAGATGACACCGAAATAGTGTAGGTCAGTTAGACAGTAAATGATAATCTGTATCTCTTTTGCTAACACAAAATAGGCAAGTTCTCTATTTCTAATGTATTCATAAAGCCCAATTTTCAGTTGTTTATAACTTGATTAGGGTCTAGCTGAAGGGCAATCAAGCAAAACACTGACTAGTTGCTATTAAATGACCATGTACTGACTGATGCATGTGGCTTAGAGTATACAGTATGTGACCATCTAATTAAAATGTCTTTCAGATAATGTATGCATACACATGTATTTTCATATATTTCATTTTACAAAAGAAACCCGATGTTAATGGATCTGAGTGAAGCAGAAAATACAAAAAGGTAGATTTTAAATACCAACATCAGATACGTAAAAGTAATAGAGAATTTAAAATCAGAAGAGGCACCATTCACTTAGAATTTAAAATATACAAGTAATCATTATAGACACACAGTGGAGTACCAAGCTCCTTTTCATACACAAAAGAATGAGATACAACCCCCCGAATCTTCACCTGAAATATTTTTGGTTGTCCTATGTAGCTCCTAAAGCTACTCTTACCACTGCGCTTTGAACTCAGGGCAGTATGGTCAGATTGTCGGGACTCTGCCATGTTAAACAACACTCTAGGGAGACATCTATTTTAATAAGCAACATTCAATAACAGCTAGGTTAAACGTAAATTAAAGTTTTGTGACTAAAGTCCTTGAACTACATTTTCTTCTCTGTAATCTTTTATTTTACTGCTTAAGAAAACTGTCTTTCCACTCCCCTCTCCCTCCTCTAGGTAATTTGTTGCCTTGATACAAATTGACCACTGCAATGAAGTTCCTGGCATCATTTTGCACTGTTTCAACAGCTTTTCCTTTAAATTTCATATATGGTTAATACACAAACTAATTCAAAGGACCTGGAAGGTTATATGATAAAGAGCTACAAAATCAATCATCTATGAGTCATTTCAGAAAAGGTATTACATATTTGGAACACATTATGTATTAAAATAAATACAGTTTAATTGTGCTTTAAACAGGTGCTAAAAGTTCCATATTTCTTAACAGATGTAAACCACTGTATGGATTACAGTTTAAAAGAAACTGAAGCATATGCCTCAGGTTTTTCTCCCCCTAAACAGATGTGATTTCTTTAAATGAGGTTTTCAACTGTTCTCTGCTTGATTAACTTTTGGCTTTCTGACGACTGTTTCAACAGAGCAAGGATATAGGCTGCCCTCCATCATTCCTTTTACATTTGAATTTGTATATCAGAACCATACCTTTTTTCATTTTTAGTCAACTACCAGCATTTTTCTGTCAAGAAACTTTGTGCAAGAAATGTGGATTCAAGAGTTGCCTATAGTTGTAGCTAACAGGCAAGTAGGCAGAATAGTACGCAGTATTGATTTATTGTCACATGCCGTTAGACAAATAGCAGTATTTGCATACAAAAATGCAGATTTAAAATATCAAAAAGGTACTTCATATACAATTGATAATTTTTCTCAAAGAATTTTCATTGATCTAATTCAGCATTGGATGGAATTTGTCAAATTGGCAAAAAGCTGCTAGTATTACAATTAGACAGAGAGGTATAACCTCATCTACCAAATCCAAAGAATAACTGCAGCATTTGATTTAACTTGGATTACTGCACCTCCACATCAGTATTGAATGATTTCAGTTTCTTCTCAATGCCTCAAATTTAGAGTGCAGATATTCCACTTTCTTCTCACTAAAGCGACTGGGCTTTGAGAAGCTGCCTGGTTTGCAATACCCACAAATTTGGATGGGGATTTTTGAATGGTAAGCAAGTTTATATGCCATCTGGCAATCTTCCTGATTGACCACATTAATTAAATGGTCCTTAATTAAAAAAAACCAAAACAAACCCAAAAATTAATAACAAAAAAACAATAAACCATACAGTAACTTTAGTACTAAACTCTGTGTATGTGTTGTTCAATAGTTCATGTGTGCTTTGTAGAACAATATTTGAACATAAATAAGAATGTTATTAAAATAAATACAAGCAACGAGTGCAATAATGCATTCTAAGAATTAAAAAAAAAAAAAGGTTTTCAAAGGTTCAGATGTTTCCATGTAACATCGAAACGAACCAGTCTTAGCAAAAAAAAGGGTTTCTTTGAAAAGTCAATTCAGTTACAGGTTCTGGACACTGAATCTTTTCTCTTTCTTTGTATTCTCTGCTAGACCAACTAGTGAGGATACAGCTGAGTGGTTCAGTGATTTTATTGAGCAGCAATGAGGTAATTCACTGAGAAAAGAGAGAAAGAAAAGCCAAGCTGATGACTGCTTATGTCATGAAAGACAAGAATACTGTGAAACTTCTCAAATCCTTAGAAAATTATTACCTACCTTCATACAGAAATAGGCTGGAAGTTCACATAAATGAAACAATCTCACTTGTGCTAATAAAAGTTTGTTATTTTAATGCATGACCGTGCACTGTATTTCTTTGATTTAATGTTTATTCTCTGCTATTCTCTAAATGAATAGGGAATGTGAAGACTCAGCTTTGGTCCTATAGCAGTTTCTATGGTTAAAAAAACCCTACCTACAAACCAAATGAAAAAAACTTACATTTTTCTCAAATCAGTAATTCTCAAAAATAAATTCACACAGCTGCAATCTTCATGCATTGCCATAACAACAATAGACAAAAATACTTTAAAGTGAGATAAAGATCACAAGTATAATATAGCATAGCACAGAAACAGATGTTTTCTATATCAATAATAACGCTGCACTACACTGAATTCTTTGTAATTTTTTTATAGACAAGTGTCATTAAAAATTTTATTTCAACTAAACAAGAATATAGCTCAGTAACAAGGTAATGTTTTTAAAATAGAATGTTGTTCACAATAATTTACTTCCTTTCTATCCGGGAAGGAAGGGAGAGGGGGAGGGAAAGGGGCACTAGCACCAAGTACTCTAGAAACAATGCAAGATTGTTTAATGTCTTGGGATGACAGGCTGTGGAAACATCTTACAAACATTTACAAGACTCACACACCATTCACTTTAAGGATACAGCTTTTCTTATGCAAAACTCCTATAAAACACAATGAAAGTTTAGTTGTATAGAAAGCTCACATAATTAGGTCATATGTTACATTTTCTTCTATGATCCAGTCACTTTTGTCTCCTTCCTCCTTTATAAAACGTAGTAATTTCCCAGGAGTACTTCAAGATGCATAAGGTGCAAAGCTGGAAAAGTCTATGACAACTCAGTTTGTCTGTTCTGTCTAACACTAAGAAAAGTACTAGATGTTTTCATGTAAGAACAAAAATTCAGATAATGAATTCTGACTTGTGTTCTTGCAGGTCACCAGGCAATTCTGATGCATCAGGAAAATAATGCCTCCTCCTTTGAAGCAATGAATTTCTCGAGGTAGTGTTCTTACATCATGGTAGACATTGCCATACTCTGTGTACATAACATTGATTTGTAAAGGCCTGTTGACTGACACACAGACTCTTAATATGCTCTACTACTCTCATTAAAAAGAAAAAAAACCACAAACCAAAAACAAACAAAAAAACCACCAACCAACCAACCAACCAATTACAAACCAAACAAACATAGATTCAACCCCAAAAAATCAAGTCAACAAACCCTACTGCTCATAGCAGTTCTGCTTGTGTTCCAGGAATCTCAGCTGCTTTATATGTCATACTTTTATGCGTCTTAACATATTAACCAATCCTTTCTGGTTTAGATAAATTATATTGCCAATATCAAGAGAGTCCAATAAAAACCCCCACATTAATTACAAAAGAAATGTTGAGACAAGCAGGAATTAGGCTTCCAGACAAGGAAGAACCATTAGCCTAGAATACCTGATGCTCCACTCCTGAAAAGGATACTTCAAATATTTGCTTCAACAGATGCAAAACTGGAGCTAGCTTCTGCAGGAAGCTACATGTTCTGGTACATGTTCTAATAGGTCTTCCTATTAACATCTTCAAATACCAGACTTTGGACCAGTTTAGACCTAAGCCATAGATTTTTGATACAAATATCACTCTAAGTAAATCCAGCGATTTTCACTCCTTAGAGGTATTTTAGATTTCTGAACACAATGTTTGGAAGCCATTTAACTTGAGAAGCATCTCAAGTTGACAATAAATTCCCTAAATACACTTTCACTGATGGAGTCATGCAAAACCAATTGAAATATGATGCCACTAAGTACCTGAGTTTGCATGTCCACCTTTACCTGTATCATTTGTCAGAGGATAATCCCACTCCACAGTCTAAAACCCACAAAACCAACATAGGAGTAGGGAAAGCATCACTGTTTGCAGACCCTGAAACATGAATCCCTGATTAGAGTTCTCACTTTTAATCAGCATGA